TCCTCCATTCTATTTTAGAAAGCCCACGACATAAAGTAAACTATTGTGTAGATTTGTCATCTACTCCAGTTTACTTCTCTGGCCAGGGGTGGGGGTGGGATGGGACTATAAGCAAAAATACTCTGTCTGAATTTTAGTAACAATATAATTTTGTGGCTTTTCAGGAAAAGAAAAAAAACCTAAAAACCTGCCTGAGTCATTATGGATACTAAAATGCTGCAACATTTGGAACAGATTTTGAAAAGTGGACTCCAGATCCGTTTTCAGACAGTAGAGGTGCCTGATGTTTTGCTTGTTTTTGGACAATAAGCTCCATGTTGTAAAAGATGGCAGAGTTCTCATGGTCCCCAGGGGAGCAAAGCTAATTCATGGTCTGTGGGAGCATGTTTGTATTGCAATGATCTTAATTTACCCATAAATAAATTACTCTCCTCCAAGGCCCATATAAATATAGTTTTAATTGCAAGCCAACTGTTAGACCCAGAATTAGACAGCTCTGGTCGTTTTCTGCCAAGGGGAGGAGGTGTTCTGGAATATTCAAGTTCAGATTTTTGTGGCTTCGGGGACGCTTTGGTAGAGAGAGGAGGCAGGCTTGTTTTAGATGCATTTGTGGAAACCCTGCTTCTGGGTCAGACAGAATCCATGTTCAAATGTTCCCTAAGGAGCCCAGCAGTGATGCCAGCCTTTTTATCTTTGTTCTTCCTTTGAACCCCCATGGTCCATTTGCACAAATGAAGCCACAGAGTGAGTCAGAGACTGCCCTCTTGGCTTCTTCCTGCTTTCAGTCTTCCTTAATTAGCAGAAACAGGCCTCGTTTAGAAAAGATGTTTGTGCCCTGATGACGAAGTACCTTCAAATAGTTGCCCTCTAAAGGAAAATGTAGGGCAGTCTTACAAATTAACTCAAGCACGAGAGTATATAGGCCATGTGTGGAATTAGGTTGACCCCAATAGAAGAGAGGTGAGGAGCCAGACGGGGTTTTGAACACCCTCCCCACTGTCAGCACTACCCTAGTATCTCATCCCAACACAGCAACTGAGGGCTGGTGCCAGGAGCTTCCCGTTTTCATACTGGAAGACAGAATAGGGACATGTGCCTCACTTATTTTCTGTTCTTGCTAAATCAGATGCCTTTTAGAAAGTGGGGGGGCAAACACAGTAACTTCCCCTTCTGTAAGCATTTCAACAGATCCAATGGGATGAATGGGGATGAATTATGGCACTCGGGAGCCAAAGAGTACTGAGTGTTACAGCTTGGAATGAAAGGTATTCTGGCACTCGGGAGTCACATAATACTGGGTGTTACAGCTCTGGTGGAAAGGTATTCTGGCAATCAGGAGCCAAGGAATACCACAGGCCATAGTAAGCATAGCAGCTTACAGCCCTGCTTCAGGGAGAGGCTTCCTCAGTATATCAGTACTTCATTGATGGGTTTAGCCATGCAATACTGCAGTGGTGGGTTTAGCTATGCAGTATTGCAGTGGTGGATTTAGCCATGTAGGACTACAATGGTGGGTTAAGCATACAGTACTGCTGTGGTGGGTTTGCTTCTATAGGTTTATCAACAAAATGTGTTTCTTTTTTCTTTCTGTGTAGAGAACACATGTACATGTATCTCTTTTGTAGCATTCTAGGGCACGCCCATGCTTGTTTCCCTCATGCTCACACATGCTCTTTCAGAAGGAACTGCAACAGAGAAAGTTGTCAAGTGTCCCTCCATTCTCTGTGCCCCAACCAGCAGGCCCTGCCACCTTTGATCAGTTGCCCACATAATCTTTCCCTGACACTTTAAACTCACGTGTGTGGATGTGTATGTAACCCCCTCCCACACACACATGTGGTTCATCACAGTGTTCGTCCACTAGCTTGTCCCTCTTAACAGTGCAGTCGTGGTCATTATTACAAATCAGAGCACCAGGCTGCTTCTTCTAAAGGGTCATTTTCTTCCTTTGCTTGTTGCACATGAATGTGAATCTTCAATATGTTTTCCTTATTGTATATTAATTATGCACAATGAGGGAAATTATTTTCTAGATGAAATAATGTATGTTGATCATATGCACCCCTCATTTACCCTTTCTTGCCTTCCTCTTTGCTCATTCTGATCACTTTCTTCCTAATCAGCTCCTCTTCCATTTTCATGTGGTGTTTTTTGGGTGTGTGTCCAGTTTTATTGGGATAGCTTAGAGGATCATGGGTGGAGGCTTGCTTACAAACCTATCAGTGGCTACAATAGTGAAGAAAGTGTCTCCCTCTTGTTAATCACTATCAGTGTTTAAACCCTTAGAGAGGCATAAGATCTAGATAGATATAACTTTTCAGTGCTTGAATCTCTTTTCAATGAATACAAGCAAAACAAACCCAGAATCCTTAAGATCACTGACTCTTCACTTAATTATGGACTGAATATTTCTGCTTACCAACACCCAAAACCCCCTAGGTTCAAGTTCTCTACTCCTAGTGAGTCTACATTTGGAGATAGGGCTAACATGGAAGGAATTATTACAACATGAGGCCATGAGGATGGGGCCCAGATTCATTTTGTGTTAGAATCCTGTAAGATAAGACTCCAAAGAACTCCCTCAGTCACAAAACTTACACATCAAGGAAAGACCAAGCCAGGAAGAAAATACTCATCAGAAGTGGAATCAGCTAGCACATTGACATTTTATATTATTATTATTTTTTATTTATTTATTTTGCCTTCAGAACTGTGAGAAAGGGAATTTCTGTTGTATAAGCTACCCAATCTCTGGAATTTTGTTATAGCAACTGATTCGAACAATGACAGGGTGAATTCCATGGTGTTCCAAATTCCTTCTCTGTTATTCCCTTCCTGTTTTGGGTTTTGACACATATATGAAACAAAAATGGGGAAGAGGGAAGGAGGAGAAGGAAGAGGAAAGAAATGGGGAAACAGATGTTTGTTTTCTTTTGAGCATGCTTGGCAGAAACTATGTTTCCAGACCTAGCATGAATAAACACCAAATTAAGGGTCAGACAGTCTCAATAGCTGTTGCTTTAAAGTTAGGAAGCTATCTGATGGCCTTGGCAAAAGCCAGGATGGGCCATTCCCTGCTGGGAACAGCCCCAGGGAAGACAAATGACTTGGGCTTGGCCATTGGGTGGTATCACCCAGACATGGCCTCTTGTAGGTGATGTTCCAGTGTGTGGTAGGATCACCAGAAGTGTGGTCCAAAGAAAGCTGAATGGGACCCTTGCTGTAAGCAGTGTCTATCCTAGAACCAAACAAGAGGGGCCTTAGGGCTTCAGTGGGTCTCAAGTTGATCTGTGACTTCACCAGAACACATGCCCACGCTTCTAGATGATACTCTGGGTGTCAGGATCCTAGAGTTCCCTGCTCATGTGGCCCTAGCTTTATGAGAGTAATAAAATCATCACCATTTGCATTTGGGGCCCTCAGGTAGGCCGTGGACATTTGTTTTAGAGGAACCATGGTGAGTAGCAAGGAACTGTAGGGAATTCTCAGCAGTGTTCCTTGTAGTATGAGACAGGGTTAGGGCTGGGCTGAGAGGAAAATGTCAATAGCTCAATATTGTTTCTAATAAGTGCTTTTCAATATTCTATAATTATTTACCTTTGCTGGTTCAGTCCCCATGGGCTGTGCAAAAACTTAAAAAGAAAAGCACCTGCACATTTACCACTGCTTTAGGATAGAAATATTAAGCACTCAAGAGATTATTAATAGTGGTGCATAAAGATTTCTGGGAAAAACAGATCGCAGAGATTTAGGAAAGGAGTGACAGAGGGAAAAGTCCCAGCCAAGAAAACGAAGGAAAAGCATGGGCCATAAGAGACCTATGGCAGTCTGTGTCACAAGACATAGTAAGCACAACATCTTGACAATACAGGTTGGGCTTGGGTCTTCAGAACCCGGTGTTTGGAGCCTCTCATCCCTGGAGGGGATGGTGTGGACTTTGATGTTATTGAACAGATATGTGGCTATCAGGGGATGGTCTATGACTTGTCTCCAGTTATTGCTGTTGGTCTAGTAGTGGCCTTTGTAGTGAGTAAGAAGCGGAAGAGAACTCCTGCATCTGTGTGATGAAAACAGGAAGCTGTCAACAGTTACTGACCTTGACTCACAGTTTACCCACAGGCTCCGAATTAGCTTGTTTATTCTTCGTAACTTAATGAGCTATTGCTCCATTTTGCAGGTGAAAAAACTGAAGTGCCAGGTGGGTTGTTAACTTCCCTGAGATGATATAACTCCTGTGGGAGAGCAGGGATCCTGTTTGTCCCCCAGCAGTCCTCGTGTCTTCCCTTCTTCTGCCAGAATAAGCTCTCACATGATAGAAAGGAAAGGCTCTGCTGAGCCCACAGACCCGTGCTGTCTTCACAGCGTAGATGGGCACTGGTTTCTGTTCTTGTTGTAAGCCAGGAGTAGCAGAGATGGAGTTTATCAACTGAGCATTTACTGTCTGTGGCTTGGTTTTGTTTTTGTTTTCAAGTGTTCTTCAGGTGGCCTTCAACGGCAGAGCTCACACAGTTAGGGGCAGAGCCCCAGATTCAGTTTCATGCTTTGTGACTCCATAGGTTCTGAAAAAAATTATGATGCTTATTGTGTGTGTGTGTGTGTGTGTATGTGTGTGTGTGTGTGTGTGTGTGTGTGTGTGTGATATCCATGTGCTAACAGCCCACTTATGGAATTCAGAAGACAACCTGTGGAAGTCGGTTCTCCCCTTCTGCCATTTGGGTTCCAGGGATTGGACCCATGTTGTCAGGCCTGGCAGCAAGCGCCTTACCCCTGAGCTATCCCACTGGCCCCAAAGACTCTTTTCTTAAGAACACCTCTGTGTTGGTTATCTTTCGCATCGTGGTGACACAATACTTGCAAGAGCAACTTGAGGGAGGATGGGCTTATTTCGGCCCATAGTGTGAAGGGACAGTCCGTCACCAAGGGAAAGGCATGACAACCAGAGAGTCAGGTGAATGATCACATTGAGAGTGATGGTTCTTTGCTGTCTCTCTCCTTTTTGGTCCATCTGAGATTGAGGTATATTCTAATTGGAATGATAGAGAAGATGAGCATGGCCTCTATACAAGGATGACACACAAAATCACGATGTAGTCCATTTTTTAAAAGGGGTGTCACTTCCCTCCCATTTCTCACCAGTGGTGACAGTTGTGTAGGTTGTCTGGATGTGGCCATCTTGCTTCTTGGGGGAACAACCCAGGCTGGGAAACAGCAACGCACTGAGTGTGAAGATAGAAAAGAGGACAGATCTTGAGATCCACTTGCCTTGGCCTCCCAAGTGCAGGGATTAACAATATGCTCCACAGTACCCAACTTGGTGACAGTTTTGGAACAACACATTACCTATTCTGAAGGCTCTTGTCTTAGGGATTCTCGTCACCAGAAAAGCAGCATCCCTGCTTCCCATGTGCGTCATTTCTGCTTGTCCTACACATCTCACAGACAGCTAGAACGGAATTAGTCCACAGTATGCCATCACATCAACACTGCTTAGTGACTGTTCACTCGCACCAGACATGTCGAGCTTGTTTGCGCATTATCTAATTCAGTCCTCGCTACAGCCTATAAGATAAGTGTTTTTTCTTTTATCGTTTCTGTTTTGCACACAATGAAATTACAGCCCCGTGGAGTTAATCTGTCGAAGGATTCCCAATGGGAAGTCACTGAGCAACAGCTGAAGGCCCAGACACTAAACTTTGGTGTTTTTGTTTTGTTTTTATTATTAATTCTTACAATCCAACAAATGCCTTGTTATCTTCGTTTTGTTGGTGAGGAACTTGCGGTGTAGAGAGGTGAAGTTTTGCCCTGCAGTTGGTCAATGGAGGGCACACACTGCGGCCTTTCTGGTTGCAGGCCTGTGGGTCTAGGCTCTTCTCAGACTGATGCGTCTCCTTGCTCAGCCCTTAAGTCAGCCCTTCCTTCTCCTCCCCCTCCCCGTGCTGCTCCTCTCCCCCAGGCTTTGTTCTCTTCTCGGGGACCACTGACACTCGCCTGTACGTAACTTCACCACTGTATCGCCTAGGAATAGGAATTGTGCTGGTTAGCTTTATGTCAACTTGGCGCAAACTAGAGTCATCAGAGAGAAGGGAGCCTCAACTGAGAAAATGCTTCTGTAAAACCGAGCTGTACCCAAGTGTGTAGGGCATTTTCTTAATTAGTGATTGATGGGGGAGGGACCAGTTCACTGAGGATGGGGCCATCCCTAGGCTGGTGGTCCTGGGTTCTATAAGGAAGCAGACTAAGCAAACCATGAGGAACAAGCCAGAGGGCAACATCCCTCCAGGGCCCCTGCATCTGCTCCTGCTTCTTGGTTCTAGCCCTGTTTGAGTTCCAATCCTGATTTCCTTCAATGATGGACTGTGGTGTGGAAGTGTAAGTCAAATAAACCCTTTCCTCCCCAAAGTGTTTTGTTCATGGTGTTTCTTCACCGCAGTGGTAGCCCTGACTAGGACAGGTGTCCTGCCTGGGCTCCTGCCTTTTGGCAATCCTAAACCACTGATGAAAAGATGCAGATCTGAGACCGGTGGCAGCCACTAAACAGGGGAAGTCACACAGCTGCTTTCCAGTTTGTTTCAGTCTGCTGTGCCAGGCACTGACTGGAATGCTACCCTACATAAATCTGAGCTGAGCCAGCTCAAACACAGCTCCTGTGTATAACCCTGCTCCTGGGCATAAATCAGAGGGGGGACACCCTTCATATTCAAGCCAATTGAATTGAATATTGACATTTTGTTAGATTTTTAAATTTTATTTTCTGTGTTTGAGTGTTTTGCCTGCATGTATGTCTGGGCATGACATGAGTACCTGATGCCTACAGAGTTCAGAAGAGATTGTTTAGTTCCTTGGAATTAAGAGTGACAGATAGCCTCAAGTCACCATATGTGTGCTGGGAATTGAATTTAGGCCGTTTGGAAAAGGGTTCTTAACTGTTGAGCCATCTCTCCAGCCTCAGAATATTGAAGACGTTAATATACTATCTACAAATCAGATCAGTATAGGGAAAAGGAAGACCGAAAGACCCATTGCTAGCATCAGTGATAGGGAGTAGGTCTAGAGCAGTGGTTCTGAATCTCCCTAATGCTGCAGCCCTTTAATACAGTTCCTCATGATGTGCTGACCCCTCCCCCACCATAAAATTATTTTCATTGCTACTTCATAACTGCAATTTTGATACTGTTCTGAAGCCACCTGTTTTCTGATGGTCTTAGGTGACCCCTGTGAAAGGGTCATTTGACCCCCTCAAAGGGGTCTCAAACAGTTGAGAAACACTGATCTGGAGTGAAATTCCTAGATGGTTTCTTGGCTTGCTGCCTCCTCTCCTACAGGGTTACCTCACTCGGGACCCTTGACCACCATGATCCCCCTTTCCTTTCTTCACACAGATCTGGGTGGCTGTCCTTCTCCAGGTTTCAGTCTAAATCTGCACATTCCTCAGGAATCACGAAGCCTTTTCAAATCCACCTGCTTGGATAAGGCCCTTTCCCTAAAGTTAGAGGAGGCTTTTTTTTTTTCTCAAGTTAGTTCATCATTTAGGAGGTATGATGACTCAACTCCAACACGAATAATTCTGAAAACTGTTTCCACCCCTCCCCCAACCCCTTTAGGCTTATGACCTACTGACTGGTCTTTGTAGCCACTGACTCTTGAGGTGTCCCTGCTCTTATTTTACTCAGTCATTGCTCCACAGAAGATGGCACACCCATGGAGGAGGACAGCTAATGTTTTGCCTCACCTACATCCTTCCTTCTTTCCCCTGGAGACATCACCTCAAATCTTCCTTGGAGTAGTTGGAGAAGGGCTTCCTACTAAACCTGACCAATCAGTGTAGTTCATCTCTCAAGTCACATGATTTGCTGAAAGAGAGCTTATTCTGAGCACACCTTAAGCAGGTTCTAACCTAAGTCACCAGGGAACTGATGGGGGATTCAACCAAAGAGGTAAACACTCTGTAAACCCACACCATAAAATGGGTATGAAATGAAAGACACTCAAGACACAAATGGATCTTATGGCACATTCATGGACTGAGACAGTTATTATTAAAATGCCTACACAACTCAAAGCAATCTAGAAAATTAGTGTGATCCCTATAACATTTCAATATTTTTCACGGAAATAGGAAATAATTCTAAAATTCATATAGAACCCAAAGGATCCTGAATATCTAAGACAAACGTGAGCAAAAAGAAGAAAGTAAGGTACCTCACTGCCCAATTTAAGGATCCACTATGAAGCTATAGCAATCAAAGCAGCATGGTACAACATAAAATTACACATAGAGGTCAATGGAGAATAGAGAGCTGGGAATAAGCTTGTGAATTTACCATCAGTTGATCTTTAACAAAAGTGTCAAAGGTGCCAGTGGCACACCGTAAAGAAAGGATAGTCTCCAGGGGGCTGGAGAGATGGCTTAGCAGTTAACGTGTTCTCTTCTTGAAGAGGACATGAGTTCAGTTTGCAGCGCTCACGCTGAGTGGTTGACAGTAGCCTGTAACTTCAACTCTGGAGGTATCAGACACCTCTCAAGGTACTGTTCCCAGGTGCACATAACCCCACCCAGACAAACACATAGAATTAAAGATAAAAAGGAGAAAAGGTAGTTTTATAAGTGGTGTTGGGACATCCATCTTGTGTGCAAAAGTCAACATGAATGGAGTGAATTTGTCTCTAAAATGTGAAAATATGGGGGTAAAATCTCCTTGGCAGTGACTGGCCTGGACAGTGTTTAGCAGCATGACTTAAAAACAAGGGCAGAAAAAGTAGAAGTAGACTCACGCAACTACATTTAACTAAAAACCTAAAGGCGTTGCAAGCAAGGTGAAGTGGTGCACACCTGAAATGATCATGAGTTCAAGGGTTACATAGCAAGAATTCATCTCAACAAAAATTAAAAAAGAAGTCACAAAGTGGTAAGTGTGTGATGTGGTGATTAGTCTGACTTAGTAACTTTAGAATATGTACATACACCAAAGCATTCCATGCCATAATGGAAGCATTTTTTATTTCTCAGTTATCTTATAATGAAGCTGTAGGGGGGAAAGGGTCTCCTTTCCTGGAGAGAAAGTGTCTGTACATTTTCTCTAATGTTCTTGGGGAGACAGAAGTCCACCAGTACTCTGAGAACAGAGCCAATATAAGGGAAAGTTGGTGAGCATTCAGCAAGAGGGAAGTGGATTGAGCCCTAGTATCATTTGACCTGAACTATGGATCCAACTATTCACTCTTGAAACTTTCATTTCCTATATACAATACATTTGTCTTTGATTTTTCACTTATAGTGGGTTTCCTATCAACTAAAAACCAAAGCCTTACCAAGCAAAGTTCCCCAATCACTGTATTCTTTACTTTTAAATTTTCGTTCTTATTTTATGTGCATTGGTGTATATCTGTGTGAGGTGTCAGATCTTGGAATTATAGATAGTTGTGAGCTGCCATGTGGGTGCTGGGAATTGAATCTGTGTCCTCTGGAAGAGCAGTCAGTGCTCTCAACCTCTGAGCCATCTGTTGAGCCCCAGTTCCGTGTATTATGAAACCTGTGCTATGAGCTCATGCCTATTAGGAAGATCACGCTTGCTACCCAATAACAATTGGTGTTTCAACTCCTCGGTACAGGACCAACTGTTTTTGGTCTCTTCTGAGTGGGTCAAGAGGATTCAGAACTTGTGATGATGCAGAAGGCTGTTTACAAGGTCACACATTTTCAGATAATAAAAGTCTATGACGAATATATAATTTTGTGGCTGTGCCATGGGTTTTTGAATGGACATACGTACTCCATAGTAGAGGCATGGGGAGCCCCAGGATTTAGGAGAGTGAGAGACAAGCAAGGAAGAACACATTAAGAGACTTAAGCAATTGTTAGCCAGAAGATGTAGCAACTTCAAAAAATGGAACTGGTACTTCTGGACCCTCCTCCTCCTCCTCTTTCTTCTTCTCTCTTTCCCTCTCTCTGGTTATTGCTCTGAATTTTGTTCTTGTTTTGAGACACGATCTCTGGTAGCCTAGGCTAGCCTCACACTGGCTATGTATCTGAGAATGACCTCGAGTTCCTAATTCTGCCTTTCCAGCTCGAGAGTACAGGGCCTTGCAGGTGTGTGGCCCCATGGCTGGCCGGAATGCTCTCTGTGTTCTGCTCCCCTTCCTTTTGCTCTAGATTAGGTTGTCAGTCTGTATAGCAGTCACTCTGGGCTGAACCCCATGCCTTGCTCCTGGTCTGGCAGGAACTGGCTGGCTGTGCTGCCTGGAAGCTTCCTGCCTCACTGTTTGCTCTGGAAGGATGCCCTGTGGCTCTAGCCTTAGACTTGACCTAGTGACCCAGAACATAGACCCGTACCTCCTAACTTTACTTGATCACCACGCCTTGCCACGAGAGAATGGCAATGGGTGACACAGGCTGGGGAAGCTCAAGGGAGACATGCTTTTCTTTTGCCAAAGGATGCAGGACAAAAATGAGTCGTTTCCAGCTGGCCCCTGGTTCTGGTAAGGCTCCATCTCACCCCTTAGTGGAATCCAAATCCCGCCTTCTCCCCTCCAAGCTACCACACTAGCTGTCACACTCTTGAACGTCTCTTGTGACTTCATTAAGCCACAACGGGGGCTTTGTGTGAAATTGGGATGTTCTGAAGGGTTTGATGCACTCTGCCACGCTGTGCTCTAGGAAGCACCACTTTGTGAATGGCAGAACCTGAGCAATGACAGTGAGAGTGGTTCCCACCCTCCGGGCCCAGCGTGTCAGGCCACACAGACACGCCTTTGTTTTCTGTCTGCTTCTCCTCTGGAATACATTAAGATCCTTCTCCTGGGCTGGGGCACTTGTGTAAACATGTGTGACACCCAGCAGAACAAATGAACAAAACCATCTTGTAATAGGATGGTGGGATCTCACCCCTCTGGTCCTTTAACGAGTATTTGCCAGCAGCCTCTCTAGGCTGGGTGTCTCTTATGTGTAGACAAGAGGCAGCCGTACCTAGGAGATTGTAGCCTAATGGTAACAACGAGGGCCAGAACGGCACACGACTCACAAGTTCGAGTGTGTAAAGACTCATGATGTGTATTCCTTCACTCAACCCGCACAGCACTGACATCTGCGTTCCTAGTGTCTGCTTTGTAGACATTGGGGCTGAAAGGGACTGGCTGGAATGCTATGCAAATGGCACTCAGCGAAGGGGCAATTCTGTCTCTTCCGTCCCACCTCCAGGTCTGAAAACTGATACATTCCTTAAGTGTAAATGCCACCTCTCCAGAGGAAAGGCTGTAAGTGGGAAGATATATATAAAAAAATTCCAAGAAAATTAACAATGACAATGACCGTAGGCTTCTCTTTAGATTGGATTCTTTCTGTTGCTGGGATAAACACCACGACCCGAAGTCATTTAGAGGTGAGGGGTTTATTTTAGCTTACCCTTCCAGGTCTCCTGTCCATTGTTGAGGAAAGTCGGGGCAGGAATTCCAGGCAGGTGCTTAACTATACACACACACACACACACACACACACACACACACACACACACACACACACACACACACACACACACAGCCCAGGCTCATAGGCCTAGGGATGGGGCCTCTCACATCAACCATTAATAGTGAGTCTCACAGAGGCTATCATAGGACAATGAGTTCAGGCTCTCCCCACGTGAGACTCTAGGTTATGTCAAGTTGATGACAAAAACTATCCAACGAAGGTGGAGATGACCCTGCAATAATGGAAAAGGGGGTAAATTTGCTTATTGCCACCAAATCACACACCTAACAATGGTGAGGGTTGTTAACTTTTTAAATACGGTGTGTTTTCCCACTTTTTTTTTAATGTTCACGAAATAATGTTAAAGGGAGATTGTCATCACTGTGTGGAGAGTTTGGAGGGTAGGAGGCAGGTCTCAGATGGCGCTTCATGTACCCCCACTTTGAATGCACACGAACGGACCCTCCGTCCAGCAAGGTGCTGGCTGGGTGGGGCTCAGATATGTAGGTAATCATCATAAGGGACGTTAACCTTACAGTTCTTTGGCTGTCCACGCTCGGCAACCCACGTTTATCCCCAGGCGCGGTTTATCCCACCTGCCCCACAGAGCCGTGCAGAGATCCAGGGACCTGGGGGGCTGCCCGCCCGCTCGCCCTCCCGGGATGCGGCCTTGCGTGGCCGCGGCGGCGGCGGCGGCGGTTGTGACGCGGGGGCCCGGGGTCGCGAACCGCCGCCCACTCCCGTCCCCATGGCGTCCGCCTCCCGCGCCCCGGAGAAGCTCCCGCAGATCCTGGTCCTCAACCCGCCCAAGGTCCTCAAGTTCAAAGGCCCCTTCACCACCGTGGTCACCAGGCGCCTCAAGCTGCGCAACCCGTCGGAGAAGAAAGTGTGCTTCAAGGTGAAGAGCACCAACCCTTACTGCTACTGCGTGCGCCCCAGCAGCGGCGTCGTCGAGCCGGGCAGCACGGTGACGGTCACCGCCATGCTGCAGCCCTTCTCCTACGACCCCAGCCAGGAGGTCAAGCACAAGTTCCTGGTGCAGGCCGTGTTCGCTCCCCCGGACGCCTCGGATCCGGGCGCCGTGTGGAAGCGGGCGAGCCCCGGGGAGCTCATGGACTCCAAGCTGAGGTGCGTGTTTGAAATCCCGGAAGAGAACGACAAACAGGACGCGGGCGGCTTGAGACTGAGGAAGGCCGCGCGTCGCCGCCACAAGCCCTGGTTCGCCTCGGCCGCGGCCTTGAAGCGGGGTCGCGCCGCGCCTCTCCCTGTTGCGCTGCTTGTGATTGGAGCTGTTTTCGTGGGCTTCTTCCTGGGGAAATTCATCTTGTGAAATGAGGCAGGCACCGCGGTTATCACCACCCCACCGTCTCCCCCACTCCACTTCCCAGTGCGAACCAGAAAAAAAAAGTCTCTTTACCCACCATCTCACTGGAAAAGTATGGCTTGCGGCGACCAACTTGGTGTGTGTGTGTGTGTGTGTGTGTGTGTGTGTGCGTGTGTGTGCGTGTGCATATGCGCGTGTGTGTGCGTGTGCATATGCTCGTGTGTGTGCGTGTGTGTGTGCATGGTGTCACATAGGCTTCGCCTCTAATGGTCTCTTGTGGCTGGAGGATGCAAAAACACAAACAAACAAACAAAAAACAAAACAAGAAAAACACAAAAAGCTGTCGGGCTACTGGACGAACCGCAAGCATCAGATCATTGTAAATCAGTTGCCCACTCCGTGCCTGGTGAAATGCAACAAGAATTGTGACTTTGGTTTTAGTAAGACTTCAAGAATGCGAGTCCCTTTAGATTCTGCCCGCCGTGCCACCTCTTGAGATACGGTTTCTTGAGATTTGCTAAGCCGCTCGTCAAGGACGTGCCAAGGGTATTCAGGAGGGGAAACGGTATCTCTTATCACATACGCTAATATTGCAAAAATACCCCATCCCTACTGAGGTGTTGTTGGCTGAGTTTTTCACCCTCGCAAATCTACACCGTGATATTTAACGTTTTGCTTTAAACCTGTTAACAGACTTTTTTTTTTTTTTTTTTTTTTTTTTTGGCAGCTTACGGTGTCTGTTGAGTGCTACTGGGGCAGTTAGAAGAAAAGTCCGCTCTGGGAATTTCAAATTTATATTGTGTGATTTTTCTCTTGCAACGATGCCCTTCCATATGTTTCACAAGTGTAATTAAAATGTCATTTATTGGGGAAAGGAATTGATAGGCTTTCGAGCTATTCTGGTAGTTTGGACAACTGTAATTGATTTGTTTTCCAGAAATATAAAATAATCACTGGAAAAGAGTGCTGTATCGAAGTGAGTTTGTGTGTTGGGTTTAAGTTATTCCATTTTTTTTTCTTTCAATGTCTTCTCAAGGAAGACTTACTTGTCTAGATTTTGAAGTACTTATTAACCAGGCTAATACTTCCATTACTTTGTAACATATTTCATAATCATGGCTAAAAATAGGGTGTTTTTTTTTCCATGCCTAACTTAACATTCGAAGTGAGTTTCCATTCTGGAAGTTTAAAATCATTGAGCAAACCCTGGGAATTTCCTTTGTGAAAAAGGACTTTTTCTTTGCAAATCAAGCTGTTAATGTTTTTTCTTTATTTTTATTTTTAAATTTAAATGTACATTAGAAACAAGGTTGCTTCACATGTCAATTCCAGGTCCCTCTCCCTTTCCCTCCTCTCCTCCCACACCCTTCCACCAACCCCTCCAATATCCCCTCATTTCCCCAGGGAGGGTGAGGCCCTTCATGGGGGTGTCCATAGTCTGTCATTTCATCCAGGGCAGGGCCTAGACCCTCCCCCGAGAGTCCAGGGTGAGAGTGCATCTCTCATTGTTGGATGGGTGCCCAAACTCCTTTTGTATACCCGGGATAAATACTGATCTACTACCCAAGACTCAATAGTTTACCTAGGCCTCCTCACTGACACCCACATGGGTCTTAATCAGTCCCATGCTGGATTCCCAGCCATCAGTCTGGGATTCAAGAGCTAACCCTTGTCAGGTCAGCTGTTTCTGGGAGTTAAACCAGCTCAGTCTTAACCCCTTTGCTCATCAGTCCTCCCTCTCTGTCACTGGATTGAGTTCAGCTCAGTGTTTAGCTGTGGGCGTCTGCCACTCAATCATGTAAAACACTGATATAAATGCTCACTCTAGGTTCTGATATTTTCTTGCACTTGGCCTTATGTCTTCATTTATTTTATTCACACTAAGAAAATTTTGGAACCAAAGAAAATATATCACATTTTAAACTGATGATAGCTAATGCTAATGAGTTTTTTCTTTTGTCCTTGAATTTAGATGTTGGTTTTTGCAGAAGATGTGCTGTACCAGAGGGAGATAGGCTCTTGGGTTTTGATGTGGTACAACGAAATATGTCAGGCCAGGTCTGTGGACACATTTTATGTAAGGGTGAAATGTTACCAAGTGTTTTGGTTGTATTTTCATTTCAAATGTGTTTGAGTTGGTCAGATTGTATGTGTTGTTACTGTACTCTGTGGTATCTTTAGAACCTCTTGCTTGTCCGTGAACGCTACATGCCAACGGCAGGCATGCTGCATGTGCCAGCTATTACTGTTGCCTCCCCCAACTGGCTGGAAAGGAAGATTAAAACAGTCTAAAGTTTCCACCCCATAAGTCCTGATTCTACACTTACCACTTAAAACTCTGTATGTAGTCAACCTCCCCAGTGATAAGTATCAAGTTTGGTATTTTGTGTCGTTTAAAAACATGAACTTTCAAAAATGTAGAAAGAAATCCCTTAGAATCCATCTTATTTAGCCCCTTTATTTTGTAGCAGGGTCGGGGTGGGGGGAGGAAAATCTGAGTCCCTATGAAAACAGAAGAGACTTTTCTGTGTTTTTACAGGTAAGGAGAGACACAACTGAAAATAGAAATCTTATCTCTGGGTCTTCTGTCTGCTCTAGTAATTTTGTAGAAAAGAATTTCTGATTTGATAAATGCCTGAAATAATGAACAATACTATTTATGAGGTGAGATTTTTAATTTTTTTTTCTGGGCATGGTACTGCTTGGCTGAAATCCCGACACTTGGAAGGTAGAGGCAGGAGAGGCAGGAGTTGAAGGTAATCCTCAACTACATAGTAAGTTCAAGATCAACCTGGGTTGCTTTGAGACCCTGGGGAGAGGGAGAGAGAGAGGGATAGGGTGATTGGGGGCCGTTTATAGCCTAAGACTACACCAGGATGATGTGTCTATTTTAATATTTAGGCTAACTATACTTCTCATATTGATAATTATCAAGTGCTATTAAAATATATTGTGTTTTAAGGTAGACATTTTATAAAGTATAACATGGAAAAATAAATAAGACACTGAGGCTGGTTGGGTTTTTTTTTTTTTTTACTCTGACTCTTTCAGGGCTCTCCACCCAACTCCCAAATAATCACACGGAGGCTCGTTCTGTCTTATGAATGCCCAGCCTTGGCGTGGCTTGTTTCTAGCCAGCTTTTCCTAACTTAAATTACCCCATCTACCTTTTGCCTTTGGGCTTATCTTTCTTTATTTCCATTTGCCTTTCTTTGCTTCTTACTCTGTAGCTGGCTGTGAGGCCAAGTAGCTGTTCCCTGGCATCCTCCTCTCTTTCTCCGTTTCTCAATTCTCAACCTTCTCTTCTTCTTCTCCTTCTATTCATTCCTTCTGGCAGCCCCGCCTATCCTGACTCCTGCCTTGCTACTGGCCATTCAGCTCTTTACTAGACAAATCAGGTGTTTGGGGCAGGCAAAGTAACACAGCTACACAGAGTTAAACAAATGCAATATAAAACAATGCAACACACCTTCGCATTATTAAACAATTATTCCACAGCATAAAGAATGAATCCATCTTAAATTAATATTCCAGAACAGCATAGCTTCTGATTGTTCCATATGTGGCAGTATCAGTTCCTAGTTCCCGGCTTATTTGGTGTTGCAAGTCAGATTGGGAAGGCTCAATATAGGGAGGGATACCTAAGAGTTTAGAGATGGGAATACTTTTGCTTCCCCTAATGAATGACCTCCCCGGCCCCCTGCCTTGATAATCACTAGCGCTGGGCTAGTTTGGGAGACAACTTCAGTGGCTTTATAATCCATTGCTCTCCATGCTTGTCAGTTTATATCTTGTTTCCATCATCTTTATCACGACAGGATTCCCACAATTCTAGCTTATTGCAGGGAATGCGCATGCGTTGCCGTTTTCCTCAGAGATCAGCAGTGTTTTTGTGGATACTCTCTAGGTTGGCTGCTGAGACCACAGCAAGGATACAAGTTTAGATTTGGGGATTGTATTCTAAGACTGCATTGATCAACCTAGGAGTGGGCAGCACAGTCAGAAAAATGTTGGAATGCCAGGAAATGATTTATTTACATAGAGTACAAGGAAGAGGACAACAGAAGCCTGGCTGATGTCTTTAAATATTTAAACATCTGTCATGTGACTTAGTAAGAGCGCTTGTTTGAATTTTTCTAGTGCCTAGGCTAACGTCAATAGGAAGAAGTTATAGAATGGCAGACTCTAAGACCACAAATCAGGTTATAAGAAGTGAATTCCCTGGAAGCAGAGTCCTCAGTCACGCATATGCCTAACCCAAGAAGACGTGTTTATGCTAGAACACAGTGGGAGAAATCGCTGAATTAAACCCCACAGATTTGCCTCTTGAAAAATAAGAAATGGAAGTAAACTCAGAAATTATTGGAGTTTAAGAATCTGAGATCCAGAGTAGTAATTTGATTTCTCTGGTTTCCACTAATTCTGCAGAGTGGGCGCTGGAGCCCACATTTCTCATCCATGCCCAGCCATTCACTTTACACCACAGGCCATTCTTCTCTCTTATAGCTCACACGTGGTTCAGCGTCTTTGAGTTACACCTCCCCCAAGGGCATCAGTTGAGTTAATGGGGAAAGGAATAAAACTGCTGAGCCTGGACCGGCTCCCTGCAAACTGTTTACAGGAAACAAATGCCATTTAGACCCTCCCTTTCCACCAATCGAACGAATCCTTTTGGTTGCAGAAAGAGACACATCTGTTCTGGATTGTCAGTGGAGTGCTAATCTGTTTTCTACAGAAGCTCCGACTTTATCTGATAACCATCTGGGCTGAATATTGGTACCTGGGTTAGAAATTCACTTCTGCTTCGAGTCAGATGGAGTGGGAAAAGGATTGATAAAAGGAGCAGAGCCATTCAGGAGAATTAAAACAACAACAGCAACAGCAAAACCTTCAGACATATTCTGAGAGCAGTGGGCAGCTTCTGGGTTGCTGTAGGCTTGGAGACCCTTGGGAGTCAGCGCTACATGTGGTCTGAGGCTGTCTTTACTGACACATCCTTTTTTGGTGCCAGCAAGGTAGAGTTGTCATTGCAGGGGCATTTGTGAACCAAGAGCATCTCCGTCACCGTCCTTTCTGATTCCTCCCGGTGTACTTCATTAACAAGAGTGCAGGGACTTAGAATTCAAAGAAGCTTCGATATACCTCTTAGGTTGGGAAGGCTGCTCAGTGGTGGAGAGAGCGTTTGCTTAGTACCCCAGGAGTTCGGTCACTATATAAAAACAAACTTCTTATTGTACCCAGTAAATTTTATTAAGAAGCCTAAATAGTAGGAGTTATCAAGTGCAATTATAGTGAAGGGAAATTTTTTTCACTAGTTTTCCTAAGGTATGATTTTTTTCTTTAAAAAAATGGCCATTTTTTTTGTTAGTGTTCAAAAATGCTGTGTTTCATTGTGGCATTTTCATTCATAAAATATTTACAAAGCTAGTACTCCAAGCCCATTAAACAACAATGCGGTTAACCAATTGATGGTAAGATTGTAATGCTGCCTCTTGCTGCTTCCTTTTCCTCGCCTTCCTCCTTCGCCATGTTTTCCCTTTCCTGTTAATTCTTCCTTCACCTAGGCCTTGTCTCAGCACTTCCTGTTTGATTTCTTTCTTGCCAACCCTATCCTGCTCTTCCAGGAATGTGAAGATGCAATTTAACAACGCAGGCACAGGGAGTGGTGCCTAGCAGTGATAGTCTTTTTGTGTTTGGCACTTCTATTAAAAAATGGGTCACTGCTGGGTAGTGGTGGCGCATGCCTCTGATCTCTGCACTTGGGAGGTAGAGGCAGGCTGCTCTTTGATTTCTAGGCTAGCCTGGTCTACAGAGTGAGTTCCAGGATGGCCAGGGCTATACAGAGAAACCCTGTCCCCAAAAACCAAACAAACAAAAGGGCGTTATAGAGACCCCAGCATGTTGCTACAAACCCATAATCCCAGTACTCATGAGACTAAGTCAGGGTGTTGCTGTGATATC